TTGATATATGTATTTTGTGGTTGTATTTAATATGTATTTGTTTTATGTTAAATGTATTTATTTTTTTGGTTTGTATGATTTAATGTATATTATATTTATAGAAAAACTATAGAAATTGTAAGTTTTTGTTATATATAAAAGATCATCAAAGTTTAAGCTAAAAAATTTAGCTAGTCCACCGGTCGAAAAATTCATGGTTCCGCCCTTGAGTTCTCTCTCTTCATAATTGAATCAAATTAATTTGATTTAACGTGTAAGAGATAGGGCGCCTCATCTAAGGACCGTAGATATACCTCATTATAGAATTCTACCACCATAAAAATGACTTATTTGCTACAAATGTTTTTGGTCAATTTGTTATTTTTCACTTGGTGGATAAATGGACGGTCAGACAGGGCTTATATTGCATGCCCCACCAGTTCCATTCCATGCTTTTCACGTTGAAATTAATCCACCAACTTTAATTTAATTAATACAATGACCTAAATTTGTCTTTGGCCACACCAAACCAAATCATGCAACTCTCTCTCCCTCTCTTGTTTGGAATGTAGTTGAAGATATATCCATCCATGCATGAAAAACTGACTCATAATAATCACATTCAAACGCATGGATCGATGTGCTTCTGTTCTTTTTCTTTTCCCCCCCTTTCTTTATCAAATAGGGCAAAGGATGAACTTTGTCGTTTTTCCTTTTTCCTTTTGCATGATGGCAAGTATAAATGATGGCATCAAGCAACCTAGCTAGCTACTTGGTTACATCAACAAGGTAGAAATTGACCACAAATCAAATCCAATGACATTATAACGGAGACCTAAATAAGCTTCCTCAATCATGAAACCAATATGAGTATTAATGTATGCGTACATGCATATGCACCGTTGGACAAGTTTTTAAAGTTAAAAGAGCGAAAACTTAGGAATCCAATGATGCATATGGATACGCATACGCAAGGGCGGAATCATGAATTTTTTAATAGGTGAGCTAGCTAAAGTTATTAGTTTAAAATTTAATGATTATTTTTTGGGAGTTTCACTAAAACACCCAAAATGGGGGTTGATATTATAAAAAAACCCAAGCACTATTTAAACATATAAACACACCCAAAAAGTTGACTTTGGGGTTGATTTTAGGTGTGTTTCTATGTTTAAATAGTGCTTGGGTTTTTTTATAAATACATGTCTAGGATTGGGTTTATTTATAAATTTGTATTATTTTTTTTGGTACTTCAAATTTCTATGGCCTTTCTAGAAATAAAAGTAAACATTAAATCATATATACCAAGCTAGTTCATAGCTCCATAGACTAATTTGTTTTAACATAAACTAAATAGGGTTTAACACCATAGTTGATTGAACATCTAAGGCTTTTTACCTAGATTGACCTTAGGTTCCTTCATGCATTCATATCATACATGAAAAGTTGTTTTATGTAAAAATATTGACTAAGTATGAAAAATGAGTTTTCGGAATAATTATTTTCTCAAGATAATTTTTGGCGGCTTTTATTCCTCACACGTCAAATAAGAAAACTTGATTTTATGGGATTTTAGTATGAAATATATATTGACTTAATGAGCCATCATTTTTAGCTTAAATTGTATTTTGTACTAAAACCGATTTTTCATATTTTGACTTTGTGAGAATTTAATTTTCTAGTATTTTTATTTTAATCCAAATGGGGGGTACTTCTTTATTTACATTGTAAACTTAAGTAAATGGAATAATATAAAAATAAATAAAAGCAAAATGACAAATACATTTACTTAAATGTTGAAAATGGAAATAAAGTAATATGTACAGCGCCACTAACTGGGCTAATATTGAAAATAAGTTAAATATATAGGTTTTATATTTTTTTTCTTAAAAACTCACACTAGGCTACAGCCCACTGTAGCCTTTAGTGTGGTTTCGCCCATGCGCATACGATCATAAGAGAATATATCATTTATTTTGAATGCTATGTAATCGAGATATTTGAAACAGATAAAAGAATAAAATATGAGAAATGAGTAGTCGTATCAACTTCTTTTAGATTTTCTTGGAATATTTTATGTGCAACTCTTCTTTGTTCTCTTTTTTTTTTATTACTAAAAGAAAATTCCCTTTTCTGACAAACAAAAAAAAAACCTCCTTTTTAATGTAGAAAAACAAAATGTTGGTTTATATTTTATGTATATATTGAAATTGATCCCGATGTTATTGACTATAGATCCCATCAATGGGACATACCCCATTTTCTACTTTAAAATTAAGGACCTATTTAATAATTATTTCAATTTTATTTTTTATTTTTTGTGCTATAGTATAGAATGAAAAATAGGAAGAATGGAAGTGAGAATGAAAGTGAAGATGAGATTGAGAGGAAAGATGAGAGGAAAGGATTGGATGGATGAGTAACAACAGTGAAAACAAAAACTAAAAGCTAAAATCTATTTCAAGTTTCTGTTTTCACTTTTGTTACTCCTTCCTCTCATCTTCTCTCTCAATCTCATCCTCACTCTCATTCTTACTATCGTTCTTCTCTATACTCTAATACAAAAAATTAAAATTAAAATTAAAATGGTAATCAAACGCCCCTAAAAACTTTACAAAAGGCATAAAATGTATTAATGTTGGATTTGCCGTAACACTATTCTTGCTCATAATTGCATCTCGTTTTAAAACTAAAAAGTAAGAAAGGTGGGTTCCGATTCAATAATGATGTTTGACGCTAACTTTGTTTTGTTTATAGAGAAACAACAAAATAACAAAAAACGAAGCTAATTTTGTTTTGTGTAGCCAAAACAATCCACCCAAATATGTAAGACATCTCACTCAACACACAATTAGTTATATATAAACAGAGGATCGCTTTGTATTGATAGTATCGTTTAGTATGCAGTATAGTCATCTTTCTCCTGTAAATTTACACTAAATATTTACCCCATATATAGAGTCAAGAACCCTAATCTTCAGCTCAAAAACCATGCATCGATCGACATTCAATAGCGGAGGTAGAGTTTTTAGCTGGGGTAGTCACAAGCTTAAACATTTGGTATTTCCCTTTGCCGCTAATGATCATACTCTATATGCATCTACTTCAGACCTGTACATAGCTCCGAATTTTTCAACATTGTTATACATATACATGAAAGATTATGTTACAACATATAGGAGGTAAAAAGTCATATGCACAAGTTTATACAAAGCCTCCTTAATCATTACTTTGTTCATAATTAATAAAAAAACACCAAACGGCTAAACCTAATGAGGGCGATATTTAAATAACTCTAAACTTGGGTTGGGTAGAGTTGGGTTGGATTGGAGAGAGAGAGAGAGAGAGAGAGAGAGAGAGAGAGAGCACCCACACAATCTGAAATGTGAGATTCTGAAGATAGAGAGGCAGTGGGAATTTGAGTCCTTCGGGTTTGGCTGTTTCGAACAAATTCAAATCACCAAGCATGTCACTGTCCCTATCACATAAAAGACAGCCCAACACCAACACCAAGACTTCTCTATTATCTTTTCTTTTCCTTTCTCTCTCCTTCTCTATCTCTTCTTTTTCTACCGCGCATTATTTGGGTCCCGCCATTGCCCTTTTGTCGCCTATTGTCGGCTCTCCTAATTTCCTCCTCCTTCTCTTCTTATCTCTCGTTGCCTTCCTCCTTACTCTTTCAAATTTTCATTTTTCCATTTTTAATTAGTTTCCAAAGTTGTAAGAACCATAGCAACTTGTATTACTTAAGTATGTGTAGTGATCCACACCACACAAAGACCAACATTAGTGTGAGATGAGAATATTAGACACACTTTATTACAACATTTAGTTTCTAATTAATGTGGTAATTTTTTTACACAAATCAATTGTGGTGTGGGTCATGTATCAATGTTTGTAGTGGAAAAATACAACTCTTAATAATATTGTAGTTTCTCCCTTTATCAATCTCAGTCCAAATTAAACTTTTCATTCAAATTCCATCTATTTTTGCCCATGTGCAAATCATCATGCTCAAGAGTGAACATGTCATTTAAAGAGTATTGGAGCTTATTTCACCTTAAATCAGGCTTGAAAGGACCGTTGATCCTTGCAAAATGATGCACACATTGGTCCGAATCAAAGAGAATTTAGATGGAAAGTTGGATTTGGATTGAGAGTAATAAGGAACATAACCACAGGGATAGTGTTCAGAATTTACAACATGAATAATACTAATATATGACCCATATACCACAAGGATAATCTGTAATTTTGTCACAAGTTGGTGTCTCTAACTAGTACGTACAATTGTAGATTTCAAATCTTATTTGAAATTTGAGAAGTCTCAACTTAGCGATACAAATTAATTTTGTTTCTTATTGAAAAAACCAAAAAAGTAATGATTTAAGTTACTAGTTAAGGCTTCTAATTTTAGTGTTAGAGGGCACCACATATTGCCAGACTGAGAAAATCTTCACATATTCGATGAACCAAAAGAATCCCTAATCCCTATCCATGTATGGTCCTTAGAAAACATCTATGAAGAACAAGAATCAAGACTTTTGCATTATGAGGTCAATAAAGAGAAACCCACCACACTACACACACTCATGATTCCACAAAAGATGAATAGAAAAACAATAAAAATGAATTTTCTTAGCAAAACCAGACAAAACTCCCACATAGAATAACACAAAACAGCATTAATGTAGTGCCATTTTAAGAGGTATAGTCAAAACTAAAGACGTTTCTTTATTTTTCCCTTTCATCATCACTCATAAAGTAAGCCAAAGCATAAAGCAATTCAAGCACACACAATCTAAAAGACAATCTAAAACATTCTTTCTTCCACTCAGAGCAGCTGCAGACAAAGAAGGTGAACACTTTCTCCCTTTCTCCTTCTCTTTCTATCTCTCTCTCTCTTTCTCTCTCTCTCTCTCTCTGAAGTCATCAGCTTCCTTTCTCCCCTTTTTCTCTCTTCTGAATTCATGGACACTGCTCAATGGCCACAGGTTGGTGGATTTATAATTCATCTCTACTCCTTTTCCTTTCTTTATTGTGCATTAATTCTCTGAGCCAAAATTTTATTAATCTAGGTCAAGCATAGATCAAGCTCCAAAGTTTTTGAAACAAAATTACTGTGGGGTATTTTCTTTTCATCTGTTACTTGTAGCTATCTGAGATTATGTTCATCAGGGCAACTGAAAGTTACCTGGATTTCATTTGTTCAAGGATAAAAGGTTATTTTGTTCTTTATACATGAAAGCTCAACCTTTTTCTTTCTTCACATGTGATAACTGATAAAGGGGGGGATGGAAAAAGGCATTACTTGTTACTATTATTTCTTCTTCTTTTTTCTTCTTTAATTTATTCCTTTAGTGTTTCTTTTTCAGTATGATTCTCCCAAGTACTAAAAAAGCTGAGCTAGCTAGCTAGCTTTCCTGAATTTCTTTGTCCACTTGTTATGATATCTTTACTATGTCTTAGATTTCTAGATCTGTGTGCAGTTTGTTTAATCTTTAATCAGAATTAGGGATATTAATATGTTGTGTTTTCCCTGAATTTTTGGGGTTAATTGCCAATTAATTAGGAGAGTGGAGAACTGGACAAGCCCATGGAAGATCATGAGATGGGGTCTAATGCATGCCCAAGGTCAGCTTTAGAGAAAAGGGCAAGGCCTCAGGAGCAATTGAATTGTCCAAGGTGCAATTCAACCAACACCAAGTTTTGTTACTACAACAACTACAGCCTCACTCAACCAAGGTACTTTTGCAAGACATGCAGAAGGTATTGGACTGAAGGTGGAACTCTCAGAAATGTCCCAGTTGGAGGAGGTTCAAGAAAGAACAAGAAATCCACATCATCATCTGCATCATCATCGGCTTCACTATTATCAAAGAATAATATTCCTGATCTCAACCCACCAAGTAGCCTCTCACACTTTTCAGCTCATCAAAACCCTAGGAGCACCCATGAAGGCCAAGATCTTAATCTGGCTTTCAATGCCATGGAGCATTACCAACAAAACCCAGCAGCTGGAGCTAGCACTTCCTCATCAGCTCCTCTTTCAGCCATGGAGCTGCTAAGGACTGGCATTGCATCCAGAGGTGTGAATTCATTTATACCAACCCAGAATATGGCTGATCATTCAAATACTCTCTATGCATCATCACCTGGGTTCTCCTTGCAAGAATTCAAACCAAACCTTGGTTTCTGTGTTGATGGGCTTGGAAATAGGTATGGCGATCATGAGATTAATGGTGGGAGGCTCTTGTTTCCATTTGGGGACTTGAAACAGATTTCAAGCTCTACAGCCCATCATGAACTTGATCATCATCAGAATAAGGGGCAAGGCAATCCAACTGGTTATTGGAATGGTTTATTGGGTGGAGGCTCGTGGTGATGGTGATTAAATAAGTTAATGATCAGAGGAGAGAAAAAGACAAGACAGAAAGAAAGTAAGAAAGAATTAAAGTGTATTTTTCACTTTTGATTTCTTTGTTTTTCTTTTAAGTTGGCTTACTTATTTTGCAGACTAACAGATATGGTTTCTTTTGTTATATATATTCCTCTATTTACTTATTTGGGCTTGGCTTTAGAAGAGGGTTTTGTAAATCCAGTATTTGATCTAGTAGGGATTAGAAGAAGAAATGAATGTAAGGCATGCAACATGGCCTGCATTCATACATTCTTCTATCAAATCTAGGGCATATGCATCTGATAAATGCACTTGTTGTATGTTTTTATAGACTTGGTGATGATCTCATTTGTGTGTGGATCTTAGTGAATGTATTAGCGGATTAGTTGCTCACTTGCTCTTGTCCTTTTTTTTGTCAATAAACTAGATTGAATTATACTTGCTCTGATTTTCCTCTCTATATCTCTCTCCCATTCACACAAGAAAAACTCGTTTGAGACTTATTATAGTAACGTGTTGTCTTTTAGTGTTGAACGACAAAACAACCTAGTTAACAGCATGATATATAACCAAAATCAATAACATCTTTTATTTCTTAAACACATATTATGTTTTAACTCGATTATTTTATGTCTAATTACCAAGTGACAAAAACAAGCACTTCTCCAGTACGAGAAAAACTTAGTTGCAAAGAAGATAACACTGTTTTATTGTACACGTACGACCAATAATGTTATGTCACGTGAAAGTATTATCACGTGTATTAGAACATTATTAGTCGAAAATAGTAAAATAGTTCTGTCACCGTGCCTTGGAAGTCTTTCTCCTCGAATACACAAAAAATAAAGCAGGTATGAACTTGACATGTCAGGGTTGACGTCTTATCTGTTACAAAACTGAGATTCTTCCAGCTATGAAAAGCATTTCGTTATAGAACAAATTGGGCACCAAAATGATGAAGGCCCCCACCTTTAAATATGGTCTTAAACTCTTAACAAATTAAAAATTAAAAATAATTTGTAATTAAATATGACACACATTACATAATTATGGTTTCAATACTTGTTCCATTAACAATCAAAATCACTAATAAAAGATTACTAAAAAAGTATTAGAAGGGCGCACTAGTGGTGGTAGACCCAATGCACATTCTTTTACACATAACACCACCAAACTAACAAGCAATTATTATATATACTGTAAAATTAACAATTAATTACCTGCCCCAACCAAAAGCAAACCTAATAATTTTCGACACCCGTTTGCTGATCAGTTTTAGAAGACTCCTTCCATGAAAGATCATAATTAACTTGCATGCCTTCTTTTACATAAAAATAATATAAATACCCTACTGATGAAAGCACCAGGAAAATTCCACGAGGACCCCATCCTCCTCTGTTTGGTTTTGGCTTTGGGGTACGTGAATGGGACCCACCAAACATTCCTCTTGTTGAGTGGGGTCCGGGGGAAAGCGTGTTGATAAACTATTTTCTCCACCAACTCAATCCATTTCACATTTCACATATAGATTAGATAGATATTATGCTGTGTCCGTCTCTTATTTGGCATTTTCTTATGTAATTTTGACGGGTTTTGAATTCTTTTTTAGGTAAACATTGGTTTTAGTGATAATTGTGTTTCATAGTAGACTAAGTAGAGAAAGAAGGTTCACCACCCTATGACCCTAAATGATGCATTAAGTCAATCCACTCACCCTATGACATGAAGAAGCTTAGGTTTTAAGGGCTCTCTCTCTCTCTCTCTCTCTCTCTCTCTCTCTCATTTTATCAATTGTAATGAACAACAACGACGGCTTATAGGGGCTGCGCAACCTTAGCTTGACCTAGAATTCCAAGTTAGAAACACATTAATATTGAGCAACAAGGAATTGCAGTGGTTGAACTAATATGTATGTATCTCTTTAATTTATAACTAGTCTAGCCATACGGCTTAGGCAAACCACACACACTTGCTGCTTCATAAAGTCGACAATGATACTCTTCCTTCTTGAGCTGTTATTGTTACTACTAGTACTACGTAGAGTTAGATAAAGCCGAGTGATTGTCGAGTACCAATCTATGTATCGACAACACCAAATACTGTAATCATTTTGGACTGAGTCGATAACGTTTTTTGACAGTTGATATAAGATCGATCGATTACTGCTCAGGACTACCGTACTCAAGAAATCAAAGATCGATTGACTCTGATTGATCATTGTATCACTCATTTCTTTCTGGTTTATTATAATCTATTAACCCTTTAATAACTTTTAAAGTAAGTACTTAGCCTGCATAACCATGTTGACAGCTGCTCTCCGAGATCAGCTTTACAAGTTCACATTATTAAGTTTTGCCTCTTCAGTTCTGAAAACTTGTAACTTTTCATTTTCGGGATCTGGAAGATTAGATTCTTGTATGTATGTAGGTAGGAAAACAACCAGCTAAATGCTAATACATGCAATGCAACGCTCGGAAAAGAAAAATAAAGGCCCTGATCCAAACATGAACTTTCCGATCATAGTCATTACACAGATGAAAGACGTCATTGAGCTGCGCAGTTGTACTTGGCGTATCCTACACAACATAAGAAATGAATAAACCCAAAATGATGACACAAACCTATACAGTGCATTATTGCGGTCATGCCGTCGAATCTGTATCCACACAATATTGTTCTGTTTCAGGCATAAACTCTGTTTCCAGGGTGGAAAAGATAATCAAACCGATGGGAATTTGGAAAAGAGACATCAAAATATGGGGCATATGCTCATATAGCACCGTGATTCTCAAGATACATAAAATTTCTCTACTGTACAAAGATAACTCAATACAATTATTCTTTACTGGGAGGCAGCTTGAAAAGCCGTAAGAACAAAAACACATTATATTTTTGAATATCCCTCACGTTCCAACTTCTATACAAGGATATAGCTCTTCATCCAAACAAGAGAATGATATGTGATTTCTGAACATGTCAACCTTAAGCCCAACTCACTTATCTCCATTGATTCCGAAGATCCGGACTTTGTGCATATTGGGGAATTTGGCAATAACTAGCACAATGACTGCAAGACTGTTGAAAAAGAGCATCGGGTGCTGGTAGTCAGTTGTGTGTGAGGCTATCAAGTACCTGACAGGAAAGAAGGAAAAGGAAATCAGAACAACATGGTTTTTCGTTCCACATAACTTTTCAAAACAAGATCGTCGCAGAATTATCATTTTCAGGACTGGTATTGCTCAGCTGACAAAACCATATATGCACTTCACCTAGCATGGCCTGAGTTTGCAAAGCAAGTTCATACAAATCATATCATAAGCAGCACTGTCAACAAAGACAGTACTGCTTCAGAAGTTTTGAGATATTACCAATGTCTTATGTAACAATTTATTCAACAAAAACATAGAACAAGAACAATTGACCCCCTCATACAATAAACTATGTAGATCTAATCTGGCATTGTTTTCTCAACTGTGGGATGACTGCTCATTCCATGCCATCCATCCATGTCCAATAAAGAAGCCTCATTCCTGGTTCACACCCCAAGTTGGGGTTCTAACAAACTCCATCCTCATAATTTAGTTGGGTAGCCAATCAAGGACATGCTAGTAGTAGAAAAATCCAACACATCTCAAAGCCATACCAAATTCATGATGTGTTCAGCATGAATACAAAAATATTTGATGTGAAAACAGGCACTAAGCTCATTCTGAAGCATTCACATAGAGCATAGTACAGGTTGAAAGTTGATATCAAGACAAGAGGATACAATGGAACTCATACTAAGGATTCTGAGTAAATAAACTGCTCCATGGGCATCCATGCATCTAAAATTGAGGTATCATACTCTTATCTAAACAAATAAATATAAGATATTCTACTAAAATCTGGGTGTGCATTGCAGGCATTAACATGGAACACTGATATGAGGTGTCCACTATGGCAACCACAAAAAAAACAAACTGTGATATTTAGAGAGAGAAAAATATTGCCTGAACTGGTAGTAGATTGTTGTAAACTAGAGAAACTCAACCAAAGCAATAACCAGAATCAGAAAATTTTAAATTTCTAAATATACTAATAATCTATCATAAATTTATCATATTTTTAAAAATTGAGTAGGTAACCAGGTGTCCTCGTTGTTGCCACTGGCCACCTAAATGAATCTGACACCTAAATGAATCTGATACAGAGTTCAGACTTAGTTTTAAACTGGACCTTTTTTGAGTAAGCTGAACAAGCCTCCAAACCTTTTTGGTGTAGAATGTTTTGGAATGTTGAACAAATATGCGTGTATGCAATAAATACATGCTTGTAAAAGTTTGACAAAGGGCTTGTGGACACACACACACAGAGATCAGAGGTGGGCAGGTTAAGATAAATAAAATCATGAACAGCCAAAAGGTTCAATTATATTTAAATTTAGTGACAAAACTAAGAAATGCCTTTTATTTTTATTTTTCATAGCACATAAATTAACTTACAGCACCACAGGAACAACAGTTAAGAACTTCCTGTTGCGGGTGAGCTGCTTTCCACTATCCATCTGCTCCCACCAAGTAAGTCCATTGTAGATCCCCTGATCTTCAGCGAAGGGAGTTCCTTTCTTCCAGTGGAAGAAGTGATAAGTGACCTAAAGAAGAATCAGACTCCTCAAATATGGCAGATGGAATTGTGAATGGAACTAACCTAGAGTTAAAAGTTAAAACTTACAAAGCATACGACTGAATACAATACTTAAGATTCAAACATTATATAAGCAAAGGCTACTTGGCCCAAAGCCTCAGATCAAAGAATAGAAAAAGAGACCTCAAAGTAGTTTATAACAAAGTATACAATTCTAAATAAACGTGCAGTCTTGTGCAGTAATTGGATATGGAACAAGGATGTCTCATCCAATCCAATCCCCATTTATATTAGAAGAACTGTGATAACATAATACCACAAAATTAGAGGATTCCTATGAGGACATCTAAAACTTGCCTCATTCCTGAACTCCCAAGTCCCAGAAAAGAGGATGTAATGAGTACTGTCTGAAAAGGGAACAAGAACAGTATCCCATAAGAGCAAGCTTGTCAACGCCACAACCAGTAAACAAAATTTTGGACAAGGAAATATGACGGAGCAGATAACTAGGCAAAGATTGGAATTCTTTCATGCTTGTCTTCTAAAACTAAACTCCTAACTGAGGCTCATAACACTGGTTAGCTCAGATAAGGTAAAATTTGCATTTTTAACTCCAATTGAGAACAAAACGCAATATTCAAATGTAAATTTCTACTTTCCTTAAACCCAAATTGTTCAGCTCAGATGCAACAATCCAACATCCAACTCATGCTTACAAGATAGAAAATTAAGCAAATTCTACTTTAAATCAAGAATTTTACGAACTAGGTTACAAAACCTCACATGAAACAAATAGCTAAAACATTGAAACGCCCCCATTCAACATCCAAATGCATAACCCATCTAGAATTATCAAAGCTGCACCTAATTACATATATGGAAACACAAAGTATCATTGAGCTAAATAATTACATGGGTTTTATTGAAAATTTAACTACACGTTATTACTTGGATTATGCAAAGCATCAAATCAAACAGGCTCTAATAAACAAATATATAAAATTTTGCAAACCCAATTAAACACAACAATCAATCAAAGCCAGTAAGCCAAACCTGAAAACCACACCTACAAACAATCAATTACATAAAGAGGCAGATATATATATATATAGAGACAGAAACATACCAAAAAATGAGAGAGATTAACTATGGTCCAAGCCATGCCAGGAGAGCAGCCAAAGATTGAGAGCACAAGAAGCCAAGAGAAGAAGAGGATGAGAATATAGGTGGTCCAAACACCAGGGTACATGAACCACTCTGTGTTCCTATTCAGATCCGCAGGTGGCACAGCTTTCACATACAGACTCGCCATCCAAAAATTCCCGTTTCTGGGTTTTGATTCAGCGACTCTTCTGGTTTCGAAAATTTGAAGTATTTGTGGGTTTTGATTGGGATAAGCTTGAATCTGTGTATTGGATTGTAATTTAGTCGTTTTGGGTATTTAATGGTTTCGAAATCCAAAACCCAAAGGCAGATCACTCTGTTTTTCTTTATATAGTCTATTATTTCTCTGTGGGGTTAACGATGGAGGCTTATTACAAACAAAATGGAGGTGAATATTGATATCGACAGGAAAAAGCGACGTCGTTTAGTTGTTATTGGTTGGTGCATTCCCTACTGTATAAGGCAGCTACTTGATTTGTTTGTATGTGATAAATAAGTAAAACAATCTAGTGGTATTGGGACCCCTCCTGTAAATCCTTTTACAACTTAAGTTGACTTTTATAATTATTTTATTTTATGCAGCCAAATCAATACATGTAAATTTCTTAACTAAATTAGACCGTCTATTTTCAGTAGGTTCAAGATCAATGGAAGTATTGATGGATATGATTCTTTAATTGCTAATATCAATGTCATAGCCAAAGTCGGAAAATTATTGAGTGTGACGGTGACACTGTAAAATGATATTATTAATCTATATATTATAGTATGAGTGAATTATAACACCATGAAACAATATAATCATCTCACTAAAGAATTACTCAATGTGGCGATGATAATTTTCTGTGCTAGTTTTCAATTTCATTTGGGTAAGAATTAGCAAGTTTAGGGGTGTGCTAATTGCTCTCCAATTTAATCTGCAATTCTGCATTTGATTCCCTTGTAGGAAACTTCCAAAATTTCTTTCGTAATTCAAGAGATGACAAAATTCTATATGGTTGCAAGATAAAATAATATAATACTAGTTTATTTATCAATTTAGTTTATGCATGACACCAGAATGTAATGCAAAAATACAACGATCTTCAAGGAAATATGTATGTGTTATGATCCTCACACGCATCCTATATCATACACATTGCATGCTCAATACACTAAACCGACCCCATAATTTCATAATAATCAGCTCAGTTGTTGGAAGTGGAGAGCCAGCCATTAATGGAGGAAAATTGGAAGGAAGAAGAAGCCCTTCCTCCCGGAACCCTAAAAAAGGAAGAACCAATAAATTGACTGCAAAATTAATAACTTGGGTGTGAAGTCTATGTCACAATCAAAATCATGAAAGTGTTGTCCAAATAAATTTTAGATGGTCCCAAATTTAAAAGTACTTAACTAATTATTTGACTCAAAGTAGATATTAATGGGCATGGATCGGCGGTGGTTGGCTCAACTTTTTTGTCTATGTGGTCTAACTTTTCTTCTGCTTTTTTGGCTGGGCAAAAATACTACGTGCCTGTTTGACATTGCTTATTTCGGGTGATAAGTGATTTTTTTAAAAAATTGGGAAGCCTAACCCATTTGGTAAACTATGATAAAATCACTTATTGTTAAAAATTGTTGTGAGAGAAAGCTATAAGGGAAAACAGCTAATGAGGTGCTTTCATTAATGATTATGTTGGAATCAATTTCGAAGAGGCTTTGGGTTTAATAATTATACGGCAATCATTTTCTAATTATGCGGGAATCAATACCAACAACATTTTTAACAAAAAGTTTACTAAACACCAAACTACTTTCTCTCACAGCAAATCTAATAGTGATTCTTTTCATAGTACAACAATGCCAAACTAGCCCGTAGATCTATTTCATTTCTAGCAACAAGCCACAAGCTCTCTTAACATTAAAAAAAGAAGTTATTATTAGGGAAATTTGCATAAATACCATCTAAACTTTTAGGCATGTGCGTATTATCACATGAATTTTATTTTTTATTTTTTATTTTTTATTTTTATCCACCTAAACTTTATAAAGTGTTGCAATCCACCACCTACGTATAACTCCGTTAAATTTAAAGAATTTTCATTCATTAACAGTAACTAAAAATAATTATTAAAAAATAAAATTTTATAAATAAAATAAAAGAAGCGTTCAAGAAGTGATGTAGATCATAATCTTATGGTGATGGCAGAAACCGAGGCCTTACAAACTTACTGTGGTTGTGCCCTAGTATGATCTTATGGTGATCATATATGAAAATCAGCCCTAGAACACCATGACCACCTCTTCTTTCGAATGTCCTTTTTGTGAGGGCTTGACATACCTGATGTCCCTAGCTCAATAAATGTTGGATGACATGGAACTATAGAACTATGCTTTTCCATCACAGAATTAATGCTATCTGCAGGGAAAGATGCGCAAGAAAAAAAAAAAAAAAAAAACCAGGTTCGCATTGTCATCGTCCATGTCCCAAAGTTTAATTTGGAACTCATGACCAACAACCATTATATGTTCGCTTTATAGTCCCTTGATTTCATCCCCATTTCACAATGTATAATTCTCCTTTATTAGTCCCATCCCACATGAGAATAAATTATGATTTGCATAACAATAGGAATACTTAAGCAATCAAGTACTCACGTTGAAGGAGTTATGCAGAGGGTGTACAGAGGAGTTCATAATTTCTCTTGGTATAAGTAGGTAGGACATGTTTTGGGAGGATAAGATTGTTTTGGAATTGATTCTAATTCATTGATTAATTTCTTAATCAACAAGTAATAATTTGAACTTTCACTCCCTAAAGATCTGTAAGTAATTTGATGAATGAAATAATTTATCTACCAGATTAAAGAAAGAGGAGAAAGTTACATGTTAAATGTAGAGGCTCGGGATGCCTAATAATAATTTCATGGGGATTGATTTTGGCTAGTGGAACCAAAGTTGAATGCCATGACATTTTGGCACGCTGATGTAGCACTAACACATAGAAAATGCTATACAAAGTACTTCATATCAACCCAATTCTATCAAAGATGACATGGATTGCTCTCAGCCTCTGTATCTTAAGAATCTAAAAGCTGAAGATATAAAACCTAGTATTATGTACCTTCTTTTGATAATGCTTTTTATGATGTAATAGATCCACTAAGATATCTGTCCTTTAAGAGAGATGAAAACTTAGTTGCAGTTGTTTTTCAAATCATATATATTCATTTCCATTGATGTCAACAAACAAGTGTGAATAAATTAGGTCATGTTTTTCATGGAATTTTGGGTTAATTATACATGTGTGATCTGTGTACTAATTACATATTATCCACTTGTCTAACAAGATAACAGCACCAAAATATTGTTAATTCAAAACCATTAAGTTAACACATAATGGAGATGACGCTAATTAGCAAATGTCTATCAAGTTTTGGCCATATTGTCTAAGAGCATTGTGCTTAAGGAATTGAAAATTCTGGCAAATAATGTGTCAAAATTTCCACTCTGACTCTGCAATATATAAGCAATGACTACTGACTAGACCCTCAAAGCCTACCAACAAACTGAAACCAAGAAAGCTTAAGCCTTCCACTAAACAACTATCTTAGTGGAAATTTTACCCTCAACCCAAATTCCATTGTTCTTGTGAGTCCTGCCCAAAATGGTGAATGAAAAGGATGTGTCAGGGAATTTGCAATGGATGATCAATGTACCTGATGGGACAACAAACGTATTAGTCCCAGAATCCGGGATAGTCGATAAGGTCTGGCTCGAGTTGAAGGGTGTGCTTGGAGGGTTGAGATTGAAAGTATGGAGGTTTTTACTGAAGGCATGGGATTTAGGAGTTGCTGAGCCCAAAAAGGCCATCCATGCTCTCAAAGTAGGGTTGGCTCTTTCAATTGTGTCACTTTTTTACTATATGAGGTCTTTGTATGAAAGTTTTGGAGGGAATGCAATGTGGACAGTTATGACTGTTGTAGAAGTTTTTGAATCCACTGTGGGTGAGTATGCAATTGGTGTGCCTTTCTAACTAGTTTTCAAATTCCAAATTTCATTGTAAAGTAAAATGCACAATTGGACATGTCATTGTCATTGCAGGTGCCACACTCTATAAAAGCATAAATAGAGCAGCAGGAACTTTTCTTGCTGGATCACTTGGTTTGGGTGTCCACTGGATTGCTTATAAGTCAGGAGAAAAGTTTGAGCCCATAATTATTGGAATCTCAGTTTTCTTCTTCGGTAAGTGAAACCGTTCAAGTTTCTGACTCATAACAAACTGTACTTATGCAATATTGCTCATCCTTGCACCTTCAGCAGCAACCTTCTCTTGATTCATCCCGTCTGTCAAATCCCGATTTGATTATGGTGCTCTGATCTTCATCCTCACCTTCAGCTTAGTTTCAGTTTCCGGATATCGTGTTGGTGAATTATCTGAGTTGGCTTACGACAGATTGTCCACCATTGGCATTGGGACCTCCTTTTGCATTCTAATTAGCATGCTTTAATACCACACTTGGGCTGGTGATGAGCTTCACAGATTGATCTACCGTAACCTGGAGAAACTGGCTGATTCCTTGGATGGTATCTCTAATTACAATACCAAATTTCATTTTCCCTTACCACCTGCAGAAAAGGATATATTATTAGTAATGACAATACTTAATTTGTTAGCTTCAAAAATACAGGACATGTCTTGGAGTACTTCAAAGATAATGAAGCTGTGACTGAAGACAATTGTCCTACAGAGGAAATCAAAGGGTATAAATGTGTGCTTGATTCAAAGGCAACAGAAGACAATTGGGTAAGTGACTGAGTGAAGTGGCTCACTCAGTTACTAAATATTGATTTGTTGCCTACATAGACATTGCTCATTTTTATTTTTCCGCTGGGGGGAACAATTTTGCAGGCTAAACTTGCAAGATGGGAGCCTGCACATGGCAGCTTCAACTTTAAACATCAATGGAAAATCAATGGAAACAGTACCTTAAGATCGGGGCATCGATGCGTAGTTGTGCTTATTGCATTGAGGCTCTCAGCAGTTGCATGGAGTCAGAAACCCAGGCTGGTCTTTTACCTCAAAACAAATCATCTCTACTAAGATTGTTTTATATCATTAGCTTCTAACTTGTAAGTTACATATTATTATGGCCAGACACCAGCTGCAATTGGACAGCTAAAGAAGCATCTCAGCAATGCCTGCAAGACAACAAACAAATATTCTTCAGGTATCTTGAGAGAATTGGCAAAAACAATTAAAACAATGACAAAATCATCTGACATGGGCTCTTTGGTTTGGGAGATGAACAATGCAGTGCAGGAACTTCAAAATTCCTTGAAATCTGTACCCATCGGCCTCATTGCACCGACACCAGAAGACACTGATGATGGCAGAGGAGAATCCTTCATAACACCAGTGGTGGAGGTTCTTCCAGTGACCACATTAGTATCTTTGCTGATTGAAAATGCAGCAAGAATTAACGGAATTGTTGATGCAGTTAATGAGCTAGCAGGCCAGGTAGATATGAAACCTGCGCCGCAAGAAAATTCCAAGCAATAGAAGCCCTCCTCGGATACCCCACATTAGCATGTGTCTATTTGATTTCATACATGATTATATTTGCAGAGTTTTTTGTCGCTGTAAAACTTGTATGTACAGTAAATAAGCTTATGTGAACATAAGGCTTTTTATCACAAAACGTCCCTGACGTTTGTGAAACTATCAGATTGCATCATTTAAATTTTTTTGTATCACTTGTAGTCCCTAACGTTAATATGGGTGCTCTTAAATAATCCCTAACCCTAAATCCCCAATTTTATGAGGGATATAATCGTCAGATCAACTCCTTTTTACCTCCCCACCTTATCTAGCAATTGTCAAGTTTTCACAACCCTCTCCAGCACCTCCAGTGGCATCACAACCTCCTACTGCGCACAATTCTTCATGCCAACAAGCCTCAACATCACAAACTGTCCAAAGAAGTAAATTAAAGTCTCCAGCAAAGAAAGGAAGGCCATGTAGAGTTTGAGATGATGTTTTATGTAACTGTAATTGGAAGTGGTCTAAGGTTTTTGATGTATGATATTGTTTTTTTATGGAACCTTTCTAGGGGTTAAAGAGATGGAACTGAAAGTGGTTTTTGATGGAAGTGGTCTAGGATTTTTGTATGTATGGAAGTGATTTTTAATAGAAGTCATGTAGGGGTTAATGTGATGAAACTGAATGTGGTTGATGATGTAATTGAAAGTGATTTTTTTATGTATGGAAGTGGTATTTGATGTATGCAGTTGGTTCAATATGTTCACAGTGGTTGGTAGTTTAGTTTATTCAATTTGTTCAACGTGTGTTGTTTATAGTTCAATTTGGTCATGTTCCATTTTCAGCGCTTGTTCTTCGTCCAAAGTAAGACATTATTTTAGCATGTGAAAATTGAACTGCAGCTTTAGTTGCCCGCCAATTCCAACAAGAAATGAAGGGACCATGAGTAATATAAAAAAATTTAAGGATGCAATCCAGTAGTTTCGCAAACGTCAGGGATATTTCATGATAAAATGCCTTTAAAAAAAAAAAATAATTGAAGAACACTGCAGACCTAATTTAAAAAGTTTTCAGTTGCTTCAAAATTTCTTATCTAATTTCGTTTTAAATTTGGGGTTAAGAAAGAAAAATCTCGTGTTGATTTCGTTATGGAAATTGCATGACTCTATGCAATGCACCCTACTCTGGTTTATGGTTCTACTCCATATGTAATTTTTGTGGCAAGCATGGCAACAAATATCCTCCCGGACCTGAAATAAAAATCTTGGAATCTGCTGAATTGAAAAAATAAATAAATATCATATACAACACAACAACGATAAAGCAATTAGGACAACCATATAATCACTGTTTTCATTCATTTCATGCATAACTAGAAAGCTATTATGTGACAATTACAAATGAGTTTGTAAACCCACATCAGAACTTCGGCCATTATTGTCGACAAATGCTTTATTCAATACTGACTACCAATTTATACGCAAATTCACGGCACTTCACCTGCACAAGGGCCATGTTCACATCATCTGGTAATCTGTGTCATAGAAGACTCCTCAACGTGAGTCACCTCCTCCTCATTGTCGTCTGCCCAACCCAAGTTCACAGCCAAATCCTCCACCGCCACCTTGATCACATCGGTTCGAACACCAATGTCGGTTGCATACCTGCTCATACAGTACATACCAGCTGTCATGGTAGCCACTCCAACTGGGCTTGGCATCAACAACTTCAGAGGAGAAGAAAGAATGGCTGCCAATGGGGCACCGATGATTGAAGAAGCTTGACCACTTCTACCAACGCCCTGCTTGTCTACTATCAAGAGACCAGTTTTGCAATACATAGCAAAGTCTTCACAGTTGTTCTGAAACACGTCATAGTTGCCAAATCCATTTTGAAGAAGATACATTGCACGGTGGACAACCGTTTCTGGGGAGTCAGATGCTGCAGTGGTGCATGTACCACCCCGTACTTTTGCGAGGAAAACTGAAGGGCTAACACCATATTCGAAGCAGTAAAGTGATCCATTTTTGAGAAAGCAGTCGAGGCATGAGAGGACAACGCCACTGTTGGGTTGCCTGAATCCACAGTCAGGAAAGGTGGGACAGGACATTGAATCATAAACGTCAGATGATGCTTCAGTGCTTAAGTTCAAATTTCTCTCAGGCCTAAAATGGACAACCTTGCTTCCCCCAAGATATATACCTGCATGGTATGATATTCCATACAGCTCATGATTAAACTTTATCCAAGCATAAGAATAACACAAGACAGCAACAAGTTAAATGCCTAGACATTGGATGATTAAGTTTTGTAAAGGACAATGCAAAATGAATGCTTGCAAAGAGAAAAAAAAAGAGCTGGAAATGATATTATAAATTGTGCCATGGTAGATGGCACAAATAATTGAAATAGTCATCGTGTTTTACTATCTGGAGAGTGACTTATGCTGCACAAACTCAGACATATGCTCCACATTATATGTCCAAGTAAACTTTGCAAATTCATAGTATGTTGTACCTTGTAAGAAGTCATCTTAATACATTCAGAAGAATTTATATGAGATCTACTTCGCTACCTAGTGATCTGGGAACGTATGTGACAATATCGACTGAGGTTTCTGTTTTGAGCCCGAATGACAATTGAATATTGGACAACAGAAGAAAGGAAGGAGAAACAAATTATAATCCCTCAACAAGACTAGTATCTAATTCTGTTTTTCTTTTGCTGAGCCATACAAACCATCGAACAAATACCCTTTCAAATAGCAGTTACTGCTTAGAATCCTTTCTGCAACAAATTTGATGAGGTCAGAGTAAAAAAAAAAAGAGGAAAATTTCAAGCTTCATGGTGGCTATAGAGTCATGCCAAGAGAAATAGCAGCATAAGAATTATTGCATTAGTCTTAAGGTTATCAGTTAACCTAACAATAAGGCAAAATAACAAAAAAGTTATCAATTTTGAAGGCAAGCAATCAGCTTTCATCATGGCACACCTAAATCAACCAGTAGAAATCGAAGAGCCTTGCATTCACCAGCAATTAAATGGAGAATTACAAAAACATTATACAAGATTCAGTCATATCACACAACAATTATCCAATCACCATGATTTGAAAGAATAACATAATGAAGTTATCCAATAAGCATCAATTCCTTGGACTAGTTAGAGGCCTTAAGCAAGGAATCAAGATACCACAATTCAGCTACAGAAAGACATAAATTCGGAAAGACGAACCAAAAAAAAAAAAAAGTCTCTGGATGAAACACAAGTCAATGCTATTCAAGTTCAAGACAATTGAAACCCAAAAAAATGGAAAACCCCAGAAATCGCATCACGCCATAAACCCACATTGTGTAATTCTTGGAAAACATATACACAATTAAATAGCCAGAAAATAAAACAACAAAATGAGTAAGAGAGAGAAAGAGAGGGAGAGAGAGACCATGGTGAGAGTAGGTGAAGACAGCTCTGTAGGTGTAGATGTGGTCTCCAAGCTTGATCTCGTTTCTCTCAACCCTATTCGTGAGCAGACCCATCTCTCCCCTTATCTCTGTTGACTGGCTCTCTCTGCCTCTTCTCCGCTATACCACTCTATACACCATAAGCAACCGCTTGCATGTATAAAAATGACTGTACAAAAAATTTAAATAGACCGAGTGACCCACAAAATAGAATAACTGCTAAAAAGTTAGAACATTTGGGACTCTACAACACCAACAAAATAAAATTAATTAAATAAATATGGCATCGGTAGAAAACAATTGGCTCACCAGAGAAGCAGTTAAACGACCTTCACCAAAAAAAATGTATCTGCATCATACATTTCTTGGATTTTCATTTCATGGGTCATCAATCATGACCAAATTTGATGATGGGTCATGGATGGTGATGATGATGAGATGACCCTTCTCTTTTCTCTGTGCGTTTTTTTGGTTTTTCTCTGCCTTTTGACTTGGGTCTTTAAGTCTTGGATGGACAGGTAGGCATTGCAGTCGAGAAAAAGGACCGGATGGTGGCTCCGCATGATAATTATATGGAGGTCATTTTCTTCTCCTTTTTCTTTTTCTTTTCCTTTTTCTTTTTCTTTTGTAGCCTATCACTAATCAAACTCTTTTAATATGGCGATGTTTGTTTTGTTCCATTAGCAACAACACAATTTGTGGGAAAAGATTTGCTTTTTTCTGTTCAGAAGGCAAGGAATTCTGAAACGCTTTGGATTCTTTGCCTTGGTTCCACTTCCACGTTATGCATGTTCACGTTTATGATTGTTTGCCTTTGCCACTTGGTTGATGGCTCTACCTTTTTCTTTATCGGTTTTTTCCTTTTTTCTTTTTTTATGCAAAAGGTTCCGAGAAGGTAGAAATAGACCATTGACTTGCAGACAACAAGAGGCCTCATGTTCGAATTCTCATCTTGGTTGTGTATGTGATAAAAAATGAATTTGGATTTTGATAATAAGCTTGCATTGAATGAAAAAATTATAAAGATATTTACTAGATACAATGTATATAAAATTATTAAATGCAATGTGATATTATGAATTCGAAACGATTAATGACTTGAAATTCATACATTTCTTCTATTTATTATTTCAGTGCAAATACAAATTTGAATAATTTGCAAATACTACACACCACGATACTTCTCTCCAGAAATTATTCAATGGACTTAAATAAATGAAACTACAACAAATAGACTGAGCATATCAATATCAATATCAATATCAATATCAATATCAATATATATATATATATATATTAAAGAATGTACAAAAGCTAAGAAGCAATCTAAAGAATAATACCTCCTAATTATGTAAGAAGATGTTCCAGTTGTATACTTTGACGTCAAAACTTGAATCTTCTTCCAGCAAATGTCTTAGTTCCTTTGCGTGCCTAGTATCCTTGGCAAGCAACAAGGCAAAGCCTCCACCCCCAGCTCCAACAAGCTTGTAGCCACAACAATAGGGGTGTGCAAATCCGAAAAGTCTATCGACAAATTCGTTACTGCAGTAAGGATCGAGT